TTTGTTGCACAAAAGCAGTTTGCTGAAACGTAGAGGATACTTTTTCGTCACCTGATGATCCACCTTCGGCCAACATCCCACATCAAGATGCTCTACAGTATGCTGGTGGTAAAGTAGAATATGTTTTTGGGACAGGTCTGTATATGACACCGAGTAACATGGAATTTAAGATTGTTCAAGTGGTAAGTTATAATAATAAAATTGTAATTACTACTGATAAACAAACACTAGGTATCAATTCAGATATTAACACTGTCTTAATAACTCACCCAAACACAGGTGAGACGGGAATAGTCAAACCACAGCCATCTGCTGTAATTCAGCCAGACACAGAAGTAACATCTCAACCACGTTCAGTAATTGAACAAACACCACATATTGTTACTCAACATCAACAACATATCGATCAGAAAACAACACTTAGAGTAGGTGGAATTGCGGCAGGTTTATTAATGATTTGGATAAATAGTTTTGACTAAGCTAAGTAGCAGTCTCAGCGAATAGAGTCTAGAGCCAGGATACAATAATTCTTAATATACCATGAAGTGCAGATGCAGCTTTCCCTGCAAGATTTCCTGGAGCTTCTCCTTATGACTTTAAATTCTATTTATCCACTCTTTTACACCATCCTTATCATTATTAAAAAGTAGCAATAACAAATGAATAATCGTGGAAAAGGGAAAAGTGTAAAATCGAGGAATATAGAAATATATTTTCTCATGACATGAAAGAATAGTGTAAACATGCTGTGTTCAAGACACAATTCTTCTATAAATAATAAACTATTATACCAGATGACAAACTTAGTTATCCTGTCACACTAATCCTTGTTTACAATGAATGCATGTCTAAACAAACATCCCTTTTTATATACTAAAGTAGAAGTTTCACGATGGACAGTGCATACAACTGTTTGGCAAACAATATCAAGCAATATTTTGGATTCAGAATCAACATACCATGACATAACAGAAACATATATATTAAATTGTATATATTCATATTTGCCGCTATTCACGATAAATTTATTTAACCGTCACTGTTTAAAACTACTCTGAACTACTTGTATGTATAGATCATCTTATTTGTAAACAGTAGGCGGGCGTATTATATATCTAACTGTTACAAAAGTCTGCTGAAATCTTCTATTTATTTATTATGTAAAATGCTGACAACATGAATAAATGCCAATTATTTCATAACACTCTAAATATAGTTGTCATAATGAACATAGTTTAAAAGTATATTTGTCACATGCAATAATACTGTCCGGTATTATTAGTAGTAATATTTTCAATATCAACCACATATTGTGAGAATCCAGGAAGAAGAAATTGTATATTTTGTATATATTGGAATTTTCCCTTGTGTTATTCTTTATGTTGAACGGCTGAAGTGGTGACCAATTCCGATGAAATTCAAGATATTTTAGATAACCCCATCCCTATGAAACCATCATCTGCAGACCGCAAAGAGATTGACAACACAAGTTGCAGTGACGAAATCAAATTTAAGAGACATCTCCAACATTTGACAGGTGCATTTTAAGGGGCGTGTAATTCTTATTGTAAAGTGAATTACCAGGAAAATAAGACAGTAGACTGCATATGTCACAATGCAAGCAGATATGACAATCAACTCATTTTTCAGGCTGCAGAACTGTTCTGAGATCGAAAACTGTCCTGCATTCCCCAAAACACCGAACTGTTTCACATGTTTCGTATTGATGATCTGATGTTTCTGGACTCTTTTAAATTTCTCAACACCTCACTAGATACGTTGGCCAACAATCTGGGAACAAAGGTCAGAATCAGTTCGTAGACACGCTGACTCGAAACAACCGTACTTTTACAAATATGTGTCGAATTTCGTTGTATTGGATGAAACTAACTTTCCTACTCGGGACCACGTGTAAAAAGAGGCCTTTTCGGTGGTCTTTCGGTACAATGCAACAAATACTTTCTGCCATGATAAGGTCGCTGACTCCCATCAATATTTTCCCTAATAAATTCACTCGTCTCCATTTCGATATAAATACAATGTTCGAGTCATGATGAGATTGTCCAACACCCCATCACTTGTCATAAAGACTAGCCTCTATGAGAATTCTGGGATAACAGTTGATCAGAATGTCATTTAAGTAAACAGATTGACAATATTTTGCAAGAGACGCATTTACCCAGTCGTTTCTGCTCTGCAGGTAATGCACATTTTAAAATCTCCTCGACTGTGTCGCCAAATCTCCAAATGTTACGGCTTTGCAATAGGTGTAATATTGTTCTGCACAGTTAAATTCTTTGTCATCGGTATGAATGATAGTAGCCTAGTCTGGCTGAATGGTGAGAACTTGGATATAACAATACGAACCTATCTGCTATCATTGTTGCCATGATGATACGTTCACGCACAGAGGTGTTCACAACTCTACTCTCTGATAAACTCAGTTGAAAATGGAAAGACAAGCAAATGTATGCAATCATTATATCTAGAAATACGTTTTAAATTCATTAGCTGCTGAAAGGGAAAAGTGTGCTGATCGGTTTGGGCATCCTTTGGGCATCATGTCTGTAATTAACATTAAAATGATTAGCTCTGTTTTATTAAGGTGAAGAGAGATTGGCTACACTAAACAGAGAATGGTGTTAACACATGACCACATTCTTTCACGAAAGGGTCAAATTCCATTTGATGACGATCATTCTAGTATATATCTGAAGGTATCTACCCCGACTACATTCGATATTGCTTCAATGGCCTTCCTAAAGAATTCCTAGGCTAATACATTTTAACAAAGGTCGCATTCTTCACATTCTTAACATTCATGCATAATGACTCCGTCCTCATTGTGACGTCATGCATGTTTATTAGCATAACACTAGGCTCATGAATATTCATTGAGGTGGAAGGAGCTGAAGGTATTGATTTTATACTACTTCTATTCTATTACCTATCAGTGCTAATTACCCCCGGTCTCCCGTTTGCCAATTGTCCATTGCCAATTACCAATCAGTCATTTAATATTTTAAACTATCAGCATTAACTATCAGCGCTAACTATTGTAAAGTGTTGGCTTCCATTCATTGTCTTTTATTGATCACCTATTAGCGCCAATTATATGTTGGCTTCCCTTGTTAGTTTCCACCTTTTGTTATCTTATTACTTTTGTAGTTCTTACATGTTAAAACTTCACAATCCTAAAATTTTAACATTTTGACCAGTTATCATTATGGGCCCTTATTGTGTATTTAAACATTATTGTCTTCAGATAACACCCGTTTTTTGTGCAGGTGAATCGATCAAAATCATGTGCACAGCACTATAGTGGCAAAAGTGTTTTTTCACGTGCAACTGGTCACGTGTCCATAATACCGCACGTGTTTTCAGCCATACTTGTTAGCAATCATTAACAAAAAAAGAAAAACACAAAAACAAAAGTCTTTACGGCCATTTGTCATGCCATGCTTTTATAATGTGCAGCGTGAACGTGCCATCGCCATCTGAGCTGGTATCCTACGCAGTTCTGCTATTGCCGTAGTTGTAGACGTGGCAGTGATGGTTCTTTCACGTAAGTGACGTAACCGTATGAATCTCTCCTGTTCACTAGTAATGATACGTGACCGACCGTGATTGTGTTTTAGAGATATTTCCATGTTTTCAACAAATTTCTGCCTTACCCGATTCTTCCCACCTCGTCACGTCCCACGTCAATCCCAATCCATGCGTAAATTACCAATTCCTTTTTGGTGTTAATTTTGTGTGGATGTCGGCAACACTTTGTTCGATATTTATAATTTTACTACTTTTGCGTTTCTTTTTTGCAGAGAACACTCTTCAAAAAAAGAAACGCACAGGTTGTATGTAGTTCATTGAACCTGACTACTCAAAACATCCGGTTTAGACATTGGATATATGTTATTGAAAAATGTTGGTGGCCTGATATTCGACAATGTCTTAAACGGCATTGTTTTCACGCTTGTTCAACAATGTCATGGAGGTGGTAGTGGCTATTAAAAGGCAAACATAAGCCAATAATTTGTCAACATTTTTCAAGTTCGAAAATGTCGAGACTGAGCGCTGCCGATCGGAACATCACCATAGGACGTATCTAAAGAGGAGAATCGCAGTCCTCCGTTGCAAGCCACTTCAACGTGACCGATACCGGCCAACCAAAAGTTCCCATCCCTGCACAGGATCGCTACATTCGACTGTTCCACCTACGTCATCGCAATGCCACAGCTACGGAGACTGCAGGACGCATCCCTGGTTTGAGGAGGATATCGGACCAGTCTGTCAGGAACCATCTTCGCAAGGCTGGAATCCGACCCAGCAGACTAGTTATCGTCCCTGTTTTGCAACAGATCCATCGGCAGTGACGCTTGCGTTGGTGGCATATCCTACACCACGAGATCTGACTTGGTTGTGGTTCAGGGAAATCTGACAGCAAATCGCTACATGAATCAAATTCTCAACCTCACCTTCTTCCAATCATTGACCGCTAGAGGGAGCTGCTTCAACAGGACATGTACAACGCCCCACCGCACACAGCTCGTGACACGGTAGACTACATTCATAATGCCAACATCAACGCCTTGCCCTCATATTTGTATCTATGATATTAAATTATATGTATCGACTTTATTAGGTACAATAAATTTACTTTAAATCTACCTGTGCGTTTCTTTTTTTGAGCGTGACATGAGTGAGACGGCAACATAAAAGCACGCTGGAATGTCCATTTCCTTTCTTATGAAATCGTACGTTACTGTTTAAAGCTACTTCACAGCTTCACAAAGTTAAGCTTTCTTTTACACATTCACGCAAGTCATATCTATGTCTCAGCACCCGTGTTGTATTATTTGCCTGAAGGATAAAGTAAATTGTCGTTCCTCGAGAAGACCGTATTACAGGATTGCAAATAGCTGGTAGACATGGTACATGCACAAGGCCTGAATAGATAGGCGTTTCTCCTTTAAACATGGATGACTCAGCAGACATTTGCGTTCCTCGGGAAAACCGTATCACGTGATTGCATGTTGTTCACGGGTACATGTACAACCGTCCTACGACCACCACCTCAGCAGTGCCTAAGGTTAAACCGGTTTCAATCTGTCTGAACAGGTAGACGTAACTCCTAAAACATGGCCGACTCAGTAAGTAACTTTATTAATTACATTTGTACTGAATGTTTAGATACAAAACTTGGCTAGTGTTAGCATAAATTACATTCTTACATTAAATGTATCTGCGTCTATGGTCCTGTATCAGTACACGGTGTGGAATTTCCGGGGAGAATGCATTTTCCTCAGTAATCTATGCTTGTCAAACTTGGGGCTTTGTTGATAGCTTGTCATCGTACTACTATAGGCACGTTTTTTCATAATATACTACCGATAAAAAATAAGGGAACTGTGGAAATGATAGCGAAGGTGTAATCATGATAAATGTCTTTAAAATTAATTTCGGGCGTGTAGATCAGTATATCTGGTGTGTCCACCATGTTGGGCGATACACCTTGAAAACCTTGAATAGTCGTTAGTTGATAAACGCCCGTGGTTGCGCACAACCCGTCCATGATATTGCCCAGCCTATCTCAATCTTTGCCGCCTATGGTAGGCTGTTAGGGTTACACTTCACAGGGCGCTTTCCTTTCAGGCGGGCTGCATAGATTTGCTTTCAAGGGTAGATGTTGAAATACGCCTCCCTGTCATTGTACAGAATTCTCTAACAGGTGTTGACAGGAATCTATTGCGAAGTGCAATTATTGCAATGAGACGATCTTGTCGTCATGTCGTTTTTAAGGCCTGCCACGACCAGGTTTTATTGCTACCCGACCCGTTTGATGGTACGGGTCCCACAGTCGAGAAATTACACTTTTTGATTTGTCAAACATTCGGGAAACTTGGGTTATTGACGCTTCTTTGTGCACGTGCATCACGTGCTGTTCATACGTGATGTAAAATTTCATTGCGATTAGATTTTGCGTCTAGATTCACCGCCACGGTATTGTAAATGTACACCTCAACGATAGCTACATTCAAATCATTAGTTCTCATATTTTTTGCCGAAATCATGTGACTGACACTGACCTCGAATATTGACTCATCACATGATCAGTTGGGCGGGGGTGGTTACTCTAGGTCGACCCGACCTTGGCCGATCACCGTTTGACCCATGCTGTTAAAACCGATCCAATAGCCTTGTGATGGCGCTGGGCGCTACATTGAAAACCCTGGCTACAGCTGATCGGAATTCCCCTGGGTTTCCCCTGGGTGCGTTTTTTCCGAATCGTATGTGTTTCCCGACTAATGATTTGCATGTCCTTGTCCTCATTTTGATCCGGGGAATTTGTCACTGACACTATAACATATTAAAACTCTTCATTTTGCACCTCTTGGTCCGCTAATTCTGCTTTTATGGCCAAAAATATCCGTATTGCGTTTCTTTTTTTAAGAGTATATGTTCCGCTGAATTCACCCCAGCACAATATACATGTATCTGGTTTTGGTATGACGCGCCTGGGGATCGAACTCCGGACCTTCCGCTCTCCGGGCGGACGCTCTACAACTAGACCACGGAGGCGGTCTCTATGTTACGCTGAATTCACCCTTGCACAATATTCATGTATCTGGTTTTGGTATGACGCGGCCGGGGATCGAACTCCGGACCTTCCGCTCTCCGGGCGGACGCTCTACAACTAGACCACGGAGGCGGTCTCTATGTTACGCTGAATTCACCCTTGCACAATATACATGTATTTGGTTTCTATGCTCGATAGCTCTTTGGAATGTTCACAAAATACTTGAGAAGTGAATTTCACATTGTGCTGGTTTACTGGAGTATGAACGCTTTGAGCCGTACAAATTAAAATCGTGTAAACGCGTAACGTGTAATCTTTATCTCAGAGATACGTTTGAGTTTGAAAACTGCTGCCGTAATTTATTTTTATGGCCTTTGATCCATGTTATTTTACTTAGTGTATGGTGTCTGCAATGGGACAAGTTTTCTCAGAAACTACTAAAGCATATCTAAGAGATACTTATCAAGACTGAGTTATCTATTCCAGAGAAGGTGCCTTTAATCTTTTTTTTCTGATGACATAAAGCGGCCCAAATGCCTCTATCTACTTAAGGCTTTATATGACTCTTTTTTTGTAGTTTATATTCACTACTATATGAACACACACAATTCTAATGTGGACAGTGGCGGGTGATTGTGTTTACGGTGTTTTCTTTTTAGTTTCTATTTTGTCATGGAATAATAAATTTTGTTGTTGAAAATATTGTATGTAACATTGCTATTAAATGAAAATTATTGTATTGAAAAATAAAATGATTACTAATTCGCGTCATTTGAAGGTATATGTATAAAAATCATCTAAAGAAAGGAAGGATTGGTTTACTCTTTTCAATCTTAATCTCACAAGTTTTAAAATAATATGTTTTTACTCTATAGACGGTGTGATTTTATGCACATATTTAAAAGGAAGGGGCTATCGACGACGTTCTCTTCTAATTGAAATAATTTCCAAGGTCCACACTATCAATGCATATGGCCTATTTTATTGAGAACTAGATGTTGCGATCATTATCAAACGGAAAGTTGGAAATATATACCACATTGTTTTTGTTTCTAAAAATGTTAAATGGGATTGACAAATACCTAAGGCATTAGTGATCCGAGTATGATTGAAATGTGTATACATGGAAATCCAGCATTAGATCCATTTCATAACAGTTATACTCTCTATACATTTTGTCGACGTGTGAGGTCTCTTGTTCTGTTTAGCGTATCTGCGTTCTCAAGAAAACGTAATTGTGCATATATTGTACAAGCACATATTTTGGGAAGCGAGATGCACGTGCTAGCGTAAATGTCAGTTACAAATACATGTGGGACATTGACAAGTTTGCCAGAATTTCGAGAAAATCTTTTGTCTCCAGCTATTTCAGAAATGTTAATGCCATGCTGCGAATTAAATAATATTCACTCAGCTATAAGCATAATTACTTCAGCAATGTGTATGTCAGCAGACAGTATGAACAAACATATATACACACAAAAAGTATCCAAGACATGGTATGATAAGGAATGTGCGTTTTATAGGATGGAGAGAGATAGACTTTTGAAGACATTTAGACATTTTAAGGCTGATAAAGATCTACAGAACTGTTGCAGCCCGAAATATGTACACTGGGGTTATCAGGTAGAAAACAATCGTGTTTTGTAGAAATGATCAAAAACAAATTGTTAACTTATATTAACGATGCCAGGTCTTTTTGGAGGACGTTGAAACACTGTACATCAACAACTCAACATAAATCGCCTATACGCATTGGCATACGAGTACTTTAAAAATGTGTTTGATATTTCTGTTAAGCAACACATGGTTGATAACGATGAGGATAATAATGTACATGCAGCTGTTCATGAACCTGATGATATATCTACTTCTATCTTGGACTCTCCTATTTCACAAGAAGTAATATTGAAAGCAATTTCAGAACTTAAATGTTCAAAATCTGCTGGATTGGATAATATAATCCCAGAGTTTAGGTGCTCAATATATATTGAACTTGTGTTTAATATTATTTTTGATACTGATAAATTTCCAAAGGTCTGGTGTTCAGATATAATAATCCCTTTGTATAAAAAGGATGATGTATCATCTCCCAATAATTATAGCGGAATCACTCTATTTAGTGTATTTAATAAACTTTACGCAGCAGTATTAGATAATAGATTAACATATTGGGCCAGCGCCCAGTTGAATGACAAGCTGGTTTTCGCAAGGAGTATAGTACAACATACAATATATACATACTACAAGCAGTTATGCAACGTTACTTATCAAAAGAGCATGGGAAGATTTATGCACAATTTGTAGATTTTAAGAAAGCTTTTGATCTTGTAAATAGATCTTAATTATGGGCAATCTTATTTCAGCAAGTAGCCTCTCATACATTTGTGAAGTCTTTAAATCTATCTATGAATGTGTCAAAGCCAGTGTCAGATCCAATAACATTTTTTCGGATGAATTTAATTGTATTCTTGGTTCAAGACAAGATTGTGTATTACGCCCAATATTGTTTTCCAAGTTAATCAATGAACTAGCAAGAGATATAGAATTATCATGTTCGCATGGAATACAACATCCCGATCTTTTTCAACTTTTTGTTTGTTATTATTTGCTTATGGTCATTTTGGTTTCTGATAGTGTGTATATACTTCAGCAACGTATTAATACATTGGAATTGTTTTGCGATAAATATCATTTATATGTAAATTTAGAGAAAACCAACGTTGATGTTTTTCAAAGAGGTGTTATCTTATCAAGACATGATAAATGTTTTTTTGATGGAGTCAAGCTCGATTGTGAAACTCCTATACATATTTAGGCTTAACATTTACCAGGTCTTTATCATGGGGTAAACATGTAAAGGATGTAGCGCTACAAGCAAAGAAAGTATTACTTGGAGTACTTAAATCTTTTGCAAAGCTGAAACCGTTATCGTTTAATATTTTGTTTAAACTATTTGATACCAGAATCACTCCTATAATGTTATATAGGTCAGAAATATGGGGCTTGAATCTTGATATTTATAACGAAATTGAGAGCGTACATATGATTGCTTGTAAGCGATTTTTAGGAGTTAGGAAACTCACCCTCAAATCATGTTGTGAGAGATGAATGAGGACGTTATCCGCTGTATAGTTGGGCTAATATTAATTGGGCTTAAAAATAAGAAGTATTTTTCAGCTAACAGGTTTTGGCCTTGTGTGGGAGCACCAATGTATTACGAATATCCCTATGTTTAGAAATGAATTTCTATGTAGATTAAAATCTTTATATGAACAAGACTGGCGTGCAACTCTTTCAGAAAGCTCAAAATCATATAACTATTCGTTGTATAAGCAAACGTTTGGCCTGGAAATACAAATCACTATATTACCACAAGAGAAATTTAGACATGCTCTGGCTAGATTATGGTGTAGTTCCCATCATCTTCGGATCGAATCTGGTAGACACAAAATGGAATCTAGAGTGGAACGAGTTTGCAAAGCGTCCAAATGTTACCAGATTCTGAGGCCAGAATTTATACCAAGAAAATATTATGAATTCCCAACAAGGCAAAAGTTCAACATTCAAATG